GTATTGTGACTACATTTAGGTGCTAATAGTAATGTAGAGTAATTCTATTTAATATTAAGAAAATCATATGCTTTCCCTCCTGTTCTTTTTCTCTTTCCATAGGAAAAGTGAAAGTTACTCCACATCAAGCGGTTCCAAATCCCACAGCCGTTCCAGGAGCCGCAGTGACTCTCCTCCAAGACAGTTCAACCACAGTTCTAGCTACAAAGGTTCCAAGGTGAGAAGTTACAAGAAATCAAAAGACTACAAGTACTCAACACACAAACCACGGAAATCACGCAGCAGGAGTTCATCACGTTCCAGGAGCCGATCCCGGGAGCGCTCTGACCATTCGGGGAAGTACAAGAAGAAGAGTCACTACTATAGAAATCACAGGCATGAGCGTTCACGCTCCTATGAGCGAGCAAGTCATCGCTATGACCGAGACCATCCTGGCCACAGTAGGCATAGGCGATGAATAAAGTAAAAAGTTCTTTCCTTTGGAATTTAAGCAGTGGAGCTCTTTCCCATTTGGTCTTTGCAGCATAGGGTTAACCTGGCTTGTAAACCACCTAGCTTGAGTAATGTCCATTTTGCTGGCAGTTCTGTACTTACTATCATGAATCCAAAGGAAAGATACTAACAAAACAGGATGATGTGAAAGACTTAATCTGATAAATGTCTTGGTGACTGTTCTGCTGGAGTGTCACCTAATAACACTGCAGAACTCGTCTCTGGATGCTCCTATGCCTGCTCTTTAGTAATTTGCATACCGTAGTGCAGTGGAGTGTTATTTGGGACTTCCAGTTCTGCAAGCAGGACCTCCGTTGCTCAGTAGTTGGAATACTGTGCTGAACAGTCCTTCCCTGTGGAACTAGAAGGCTCAAGACAGTTCATAAAAACCATTGGAGTGGCTTGGTGCTAACAAAGCTGTCTTTTCATACTGACTCAATTATGTTGTACAAATGTAAGGTGACTTTTTTAGAACTGTTGCCTATATTAGGTTATACATGTGTATATATATTTTGCAGTGTTACAGTACAGTATGGGAGTATGGCCTTACTAGCCTTTACACTTTATCCACAATGTAAATAAGCATTTGTTTAATACAGGTGGAAGATATATACAGAAAATTCAAAACTTGAATTCTATCAAAAGACTTGTGTAGAAAATTCTGATAAATGTGAAAGTATTTAGCTCTGTGTATTGAGAGTAGTATATTTTTATCTGTGCAATGCTGTGTGCAGGCCACCAGCTCATAAGACATTTCCTATATATTCATTTTAAGTGGTTTGAAATTCTTTACTCAGGATCTTTGACACTGAAGAATTAGTAGTTTGTCAATCTGCATGCTTGTCGAAGAACAGAGCATTTAAAGAAAAAAAAAAAAAAACAGCAAAAACCCCACAGCCCAGTAGTATCAGTTCTAGTGGTATATCTGAGCTGTTACTCTCATGCTCCCTAATTTCATTAAAGTATTTGATTTTCTATCAAATTTACTTGATGGTAGTTTCTTATGAGCTATACCACTGTGCCTACTCATAAGGAAAGGAATTTGGTGCTGAATGAAGAGATTGTCAAATTGTAGTAGATTTAAGACTAGCGTAAGTTGTTGCACCCTGAATACAGGTGTAGTAGATGTCGTGCTGGGCCCATCCTGGAGGAGCAGACTGGTGTATGGTGTGAAATAGGGTGCTGTTATTTGAACCTTTCAGGCTCTGTGAGTAGATCTTCCTAGAACCACTGCCTGCTGGTTAAACTTCCTCTGTCCGCTCTGGGGGAAACAAGATGCATGAGGGATTTTGTGGTCAATCTTGTAGGTGCCTCAGTGTGACAGTGACTCTTCTAACGCTTCTTTTAAATCCAAACCAATCTCTTGGCAATTTTCTTAGTTTTTAACATGGAGGCAAGGCAGCTGAAAGCATTTGCAGTCAACCTTCCTCTAGCCAACCTCTAGTCTACCAAATTTCCTGAGCTGGAGGTTCTGTAGGATTATTCTGTGTAATTACCAGTGGATGTGTTTGTGAACTTGACTACTCTTTGTTTGAACTGTGATGGTTTTGACCTCTGCAGTTCCTTCTGATGTTCTGTTCCATAACAGTTCCTGGTCACCTTGCAGTAGCAGTAGTTGGTTTGTAGTTCTTTGCCATAGTTGTGATGACATCTCAGCTGAGAAAAGACAACTAATTGAGACAGGCAGCAGATCCAAGGAAAGCTCCTCGGAGCTCCAGCAGAGCACTGCTATGGAATGGAAGTTAATCTGTTCCTGAATCGGTGAACTACCTGCCTTAACTTGACCTTTGCACACAGATGGAAACTAATTATTTCATACTTGGTATGCTAAATAATTGAGTAGAAGTTAAAGTAGCTCAGACATAACATGATACAAAAAGTAACTTTGATCTATTCAGACGTGAGCAACCTGAAGTAAGTGTTCTCTAGAGATTCCCCATTTTACGTCTTCCTCGTTCTTACTACCTGGATATTACTTGGAGCAGGTCAACTTCAAATCTCTGTTTACTAATTCCAGTTCTAAAAGGTAGTTGGTGTCTCCCCGTTTAACTACTTCATTCTGCTCCGGATGCTTCCGGAATTGCCTCTTGTCCAGTTCCTGAGGTAAGCAACATGTGGGGAGGCAGGCTTCACAGCTGCAGCCTCCTCCAGAAAGACACCAGGAGGAATTACTTTAGTTAAGTCTCGGTTCTGCTAGCTACAGACGTGACCTTCCTCCAGTGCAAGTAGCATGGACGAGGATAAAGGTAAGACCCGGGCTACGTACGCTTTTCTACATGGACATAATGTCACTTGGCATAAAAATCGGCATCTGTGTCCTATAAACTACTGTGCTTATGTACAGCGCTGGATAAATGTACTTTCTAGTACACTTGTTAAAATCTGGAGAGGAAAAAACAAAGGAGAAAGTGTGTGTAGTTTGACATTAAGGTGGTTTGGTTCCAAAACAAAAGGGATCACATCGCAGGATTGAAAGACCTCCTGTCCTAGGAGGGAACAATCTGTCTTCACCAGCAAAAAGCCCAATGCAGCTAGCTACGCAGGATGTCCTGGTGAGGTGGGGTGGGGAGAAGGTGCCCAGAGTAGCTAGAGAAGCACAAGAACTGTTGAAATGCGGGGGCTGATTGGTTGGGTGGGAGTAGATGCGCCTCTGTTTAACAGAGGCGTGCCTGTTTTCACTATCCCGTGGTACGGCGCGCAGCCGTAAGGGCTGGCAAAGGTATTGTTTTACTTTGCTCAGGAAGTCCAAGATTAAAGAGTTTTCCCGTGTATTTGGTAACTAGGGGCATTTACCGTGCCGAGTGCTAAGAACTGTAGTATCGGTCATATTTCACCCTGAAAATAACTGGCTCAGCATTCCAAAGCAGTCATTCCAGAGTTTCAGTTTAAGCTCTTTGCAGTGGTCAACTTAGGAACCTTTGAATTAAATCCCTGTTTCCTTGAAGTTGGGAATCTTGGGCATTCTGTTAGTTTAGCCACCTTTCCAGCTGATACCAAACATATCCACCAATCCACAAAAGTCTGGAATGGAACATGCATTTCTCTACCTTAAAATAGCTGGCAGATAGCAGCTGAATTTCATGAACAGTAATGGCTCTGCTCCTCTCCACCTGTCCAATAGTGAGCAAAGGGCACAGGTAACAACCGCAGTTGGTCCCTGGGAGATTACAGAGCTGTGGTTCATGAGAATCTCACCCCTTGACCCACGGAAAAGAGAAATGGGCTAGGTGCCACTTCTTGGGGTGTGAAAATGTTTCGAAGTGGATGAACGCCCGTGACAGTTTTGATGTGAGCCAGCCCCAGGGAACTGCTGAGACAACTCGGGGAAGCAAGTGCTGCTGACAACAAGCAAGCCAGAAGTCCAATTAACGGAGCTGACAGATTATTTTCTTCTCTTTTCTTGGCACCAGTTTGCATTTGTTCGCTTAATCTTCTGTAAGCACAGTTCCTGTGGTAGGTGTCGAGTGGATGTGATCGGGCACAACGCTGGAAAAAAAAATCAGCCCAGTCTTTGGAGAAGTGTTAAGAAATACTGTGTCAAGTAATTTCTTCGTTCCTCACGTATGCTTAGTGCCCTCTTGGAACCCTACTGCTTGTCTCTTTACATCTGGTTAGGTGTCAGTTGCTTTTCCCAAGGTTTCCTGCAGAGCTGAAAGGAACAGGGCTGCTCTTTGTCTTACTAGAAAAAACATCCTCCACCTTGGGGTCATCTGATGGGGTAGCGATCAGAAACCACTGGTGTCTGGCAGAACTGTGGTGGTTCGTGTGAAATGATACGAAGAGACAGTCTATACCCTAACCATGACTTGGGAAATGACCCTTCCGTCAGGCAGGCAGGCAGTCCTGCACATGAGCTCTTGGGGAACTTGTCAGTTCTTTGGTGAAGAGCTTGCTTTCTCAACCTCTTTGTTAATTTCTACTTGTTTTCCTAGTAAGCGGAGCTGAAAATAGAATAAATGGTGTGCAGTCCTGCTCAGACATTATTTCACTATTTACCAGTGAAATCTTACAGTTGAAGGATCAACTGTTCTTTTCTCGATGCCATCAGTGTTTGATCTAGCGCGTCTTTCAGGAGGCTGGGGAAGCGGTGCAGGCCTGCATTGTGCCAGTCCCTGAATCCAGACATAGGCTATGTCCTTGTAGTCAGAAAATGGGACAACCCCTGACCTGACTAGTTCCTCCAGCTGAAAGCTGTGCATAGTACTTTGTGCTCACTGTACTGAGACCAATCTTTTTTCTTTGGCTCCCCCCAGCTGCCAGCGCTTGTGACTATCACAGATCATACAATGTTTAGAATTTGTTTACAACCTGTAGTCCTACTGGGTAAGAAATGGTGAGAGAATCTAAGTTTTCATTTTAAGAAACCAGAAAAATGTCTAGTTCTCATGGTTACAAAGATTACAAAACACAGAAATCCGTGTGTATCAGGCTGAGCAAACAGAAGGCGAGGAGTTTAGGTTTACCTAAAAGAAAAACCAAACCCACCACTTTTTTATGTACGTGCATACATGTACAAGTCTCGGCTCTTAAGGTGAGTTACGACTTCTGTTTTCTGAACAGCTGAAGACTGCAACGTGGCTCTCGCTCATCAGAACATCTCTCAGGTTGTTACTCTGTGATCGCTCTGAATCTGGCGTTTGCGTGTAATTCCTTCTGCCCGGAGAGAGGCCATCTCACTGGCCAGAAGCTTTGAAGGGACAGCGCTTACTGAGACCTCTGACTTAGAAGACACTACAGTTTTGGCCAGGCTATGGTTCTCTTTCCTCAGATCAAGCCGCCTACCTGCTCTAGCAGCGCAGCCTGGTCCTCCTTCCTTCATGGAAATAATCCTCCGGGCTTCCCGGCTAATGTTTCCTCAGCAATGGACTCCACGGCTGTAAATCCAATGTGCAGGTGGAAGGTCACACCCTCAGCTCTCTACTTGCTCTCTACCAGCAGAGGCTCAGCCAACAAAGCTTTCCTTTTTCAGGCGAACGCCTAAAGAATTATTTCCTCAAATACGGAACTTCTAGCACAGTGTGTGCCAGGCAGGTGGTGACCAAGAGGGAAAGATCCCCCCTCTTGGGTGAGCCAAAGGTAGGAAGCCAGTGGTTGACACGATCAAAGAATAATTGAATAAACAGCAAAGCCTGGAGTTTTTGAGATCAGATGAGAAAAGCAGGTTTCAATTCCCTGTTAGACGTTTGGAAGGGAGGCTTTAATTGAGATTTACCATAAGCTTCAGTGCAGATGTCGTCTCCGTGCAGAGCTGGGTGCCGGGCCCTTTGCACCTCTGGAAAATCAACGTGGTGGGAAATGGGAGAGAGGTTCAGCTTCTGTCAGAAACTGTCCACCTTCATTGCCGAGCTCACTGCGTATGCCTCTGGAGTCTGGCCAGAAATTTTGGAGTCCATTGCCACCTCTGAAGCCCACTTACGATCTGATATGGCCAGGTCCGAAATACTGAAACTGATCGTGGCTTTGGTTTATGGCAGAGTCTTTTGTGCGCCTCTGTTTGTGAAGGGTGGCTACTCTTCTCGTGTTTGACATCCCAGAGTCTGCTCAAACTGAATTCTGCTGACTTGAAGGCTGTGGATTGGTGATTCAAAACCATTTAGTTAGAGGGAGTGTCTGTTTTAAGCCTTATTTTGCTTGTTTTGCCCACGGCCTATCACTCTAATAATGATTTATGGTTCCACAAACACTATAAATATCCTGATATTCTGATATGTTCTTGGGTGGAAAAAGTGCCAGAGACCTAAAAAAAAAAAAAAAAAAGCCTTGCAGCATGTCCTGCACAGAGACAGACCAAAGCCAAAGAGGAGCTGAATCAACGGAGCTCGCTCAAATACAGAAACTGCGAGTGGCAATTATTTAAGAGTATTGCTTCACCCAGAATAAAAGCAGTATTTTCTCCATTGTCCTGCCAGGTAACTCCTCTCCAAGGGTTGCCAGGCAACCCTTGTTTTTATTTTCTTTAAATGTGGGTGAGAAATTACTAAGCAAAGCAATTCTGCCTCTGGTGTATCCAACTCAACCCAGGTTGAGCTAAACAGCATAAAAATTTGCCTTACTAGACTGTGGTTAGCAGTGTGCTGAAACCTGGACTTTACTTGAAGAGTTAGACCGAAGCAGGCCTGGAGGAACCAGCTTCTAGTACGCGGAACTTGATTAAAAGCCATGGCAAACAGCAGTAAGAGCTGGAAAGGAGAGGGTGAGGGCTGAGGTGAGGAGACGGGACTGGGGCTGGCCAGACTCACTTCGGATGCTATCCAACTCCAGCTGGTGGAAGAGAATCCTCATACGCTGGACCTGGTCGCTGTTTGCCATCCGCAAGGAGCTCTGGGCAATGTTTCTCTCCTATGCGCCTTGCTATGTCTTGTAACTCGGGTGTCTACCTCCTGTCACTCAGGAAAAATGCCTTACTGATGGGATGGGACCTTGCTGGCCCAGGGGAACCTGTCACCAACTCTCCGTGTGACCTCGGGCTATATGACTGGGCCCTGTCCCAGTTTCCCCGTCTATAAAAGCAGAGTAAGAGCTTTTTTAGGAAAACCTTGGCGCTTCGAAAAGCATTACGTGGCATTCTGTACAGGTCAGTTCTGTCTTTTGTGTATCTGGACAATAGCAGGGGTTTTCAGTATATGTTTTACTTACTAAGAAAAACATCTTCCTCTAGTTAGACTGTTTCTTCCCCTTCGAGAACTACTCTGAATTCCAGACAAGAGACAAGCACCCTGTGCATGAAGTCCGAGCTGCACTCTGGCAGTGACAAAACTCCCCTTGACTTCAGTGAGGTTTGACCCTTTTTGTTCTACCGGTCCGCACGAAAGCTGCTGGCCGAAAAATACTCCAAATGGCTCGATAAAGAGATACTTCCACTGACAGGACCCAGACTAGAGGAGGAACGCAGTAAGGAATACCCGAGAAATCGACGGTGAATAGCAGTGAAATAGCGTTAAAAAGTGACAGTTACGGATTTAATCTGCAGTCGGCAACAATCACGTTTGATTGCAAGCGCAGCACCAAGCACGCTGTAAAGCGCCTAACGGCTCTCTCCAGTCTCTCAGGTCGGCAAAGTTGCGCTGTGATTACATCAACCCTGATGACAGCCCTCCTGCACCGCGTCAGGGGTACCGCGGGCCGCCTAGTGCTTGCGTACCGAGCAGAGCGTGCACACCACCACCAGCCCAGAGGCTGCCGATCCCAGTGCCGCCGCTGCGGGCTTAACTCACATGCGCAAAATTCCAGCTATGCCTGGCAGCCCTAGCACTCGTGTGTGCTGACAGCAAGGACTGAATAAATTACAAGCACAAAGAGGTTGACTAAGCTGTCTTATGCCTGACAGGGATTTTTTGAAAATTCTCCAAAACCAACAAAATGCTGTTGGTAACGCACAAAGAGAATTCTGAAATTAACACAGCGCGCATGGGAAGGCAGGTAATTGATTAAACCTCTTGGAAAAGAAGAGAGTGCTGGTGTTTGTGAGACGGAGAGACGTTTCTGGAACGGAGCTTTATTTGGAAGAAAGGAGAAAAACACAGGTATCGGTATACAGGGCAACCTTACTGCTGGCTTGTTGCCACATCTGATCTTTGCACAAAGACCAGCTTTTCCGTAGAGAAACAGTGGAATCTGATTCCGTGGATCCACTTTAAATAAGGGGTGATGGATCCGCACGTTCATTTTTACATAGGGCAGAGCAATAACCAGACATTTATTTGATTGTTTTGGTGCTCTGGAACCCCTTGATATTAGCCATTGATTTCTCTGCGTGTGTGTGAGCGCGAGCAGTTTACGTTCCTTCCAAACCTCCGCGCAGGTAACTGGCCTCTTATCTGCAAGGCTGAGCTAAGCTTCAGCGTGTGACCACCACCCATCGCTGCCAGGGTAATCAGCCCCTCGGGCAATGCTGTTTCCAAAACCACTGAACCTTGAGAGGATGGAGGGGTTGGAGGCCCTTCCCAAGGGTCCTATTGTGGAGTATCACTCACAGTTGATCCATTCATGGCATGTGAGTTCCTTTCAGTCTTCAGAGCACTTTTCCTTATGAAAACAATGCCACGGGGCCAGTAGAGGACACGATATGGAAATACTAAGAGGGATATTCATACTGCCTGAGAACTTAGACACCAAAGGTGGAGAATTCCCTCTCTTTCCTGTATGGAAAGCTGATGGGTAGAGACAGGTATTTGAATTTCAATTAGACTTCTCCAAACCCTGCCGTGGACGAGTCTGTCTCTCTCAGAACTACACAGGAGTAGCAGCTGCCTAAACAACGTACCAAACCTGGGCAGCGTGAACACACTCTTGCTCACTTGCCCAAGCTGACAAAGGAAGTTATTGTATAGCCAGGAGCTGAGGTATAATTCTCTAAACCCCAGCTGAGCGTCTGACCCTCGCTAGGGCCCCGGGAGAAATGGACTGGCCCAACTATCCTTCGCAAGCAATAGGTGGCACGTGTATCCAGCGGCGCCTCCAGCCTCCTCTGCTACCAGCACCACCAGCTGGTAAGAAGCCAATGTGACTTCAAAACGAATGTAGCTAACCCAGCCTCAGAGGACGGAGAGAACAATATTTCCGTGGGACTAAGGGAGAGCACAGTGAAAGGCAGTGGCATTTTCAACACCTCCTCAGCAGTCCTCAGAGACCCGATACAAAGCCTGTTCAAAGCAGAAGAAATCTTTCCATCGTTTGCCCTACCTATTGCGGTAATGGCACTCCTCGGTGTCGTAAGACCGGCAATAGACTGGTGGCTTCCCTTTGTGGGCCTGAGGTATAACGTCCCCAAGTCCACGCTCTGCCCTTCAACGTCCATTTCTTTCAGGTGGTCTGAGAAAGGTGTTGCACAATGCAGCTTCTCGCGTTCACAGCAGGGAAAGGGACAACACGTGCACAGCATGAGTCCTTCCACAGGGAAGGTTAAACCAACCAGTTCACGCTCGTTAGCTGAGCGGTGGTATTTGGCCGTGCGTGCTCTCTGCTCATTATAGATGTGATGTGAAGCGCGGCAGCTTAAACAAGAGATGTCCATACCAACCCATTCTATCTCCTGTTTGTCACAAGGGAAGAATATATTCATGGGCACTCACCACAGCCCCAGTAATACACAGCAAACCTGAAAAGCTGCAGCAAATTGGTTTGAGCCCAGTATGGAGACAATGGTCCCGGCTCCCAGATGACACACGTGGGTAGCCCTGCACGGGAGTGAATGATGAGTGAATGGGTGATGATTTTCACACAAAGGTCTGGCTGCTTGTCCGTAACCCCAAATGAGCAAGAAACCATCCGAAACCCAAGGTGGCCGTTTCCCTTTTGGCGTGAGTCACCCCCCAGGCAGAGCGCAGTACCTGGGTGCGGTCCCCTGACCTATGGCTCAGTGTCCTCAAGACAGATCATTTCACCTCTGTTCCCCAGCCGTGAAGCGGAGCCAGCTACGCTTGACACTTCTGTTACGTATTTTCAGACTATCAGGGAAAAGGGCAATTTATGATGGATATTGCCCTTATGGTTTGTTTGCCAAGTGCTGTGTATGTTTACGATGCCATAAAAAGGCAATGTAACACGCGATTAAACACAACATACTTTGTATGTAAAACTTTTGCAATGGGCAAACACTGTATCTGCTAAACCTTGGACTCAGATTCCTGCTTCATGTTAAGAACCCACCGAATCATTTGGCTCAGTGAGAGCCTGGGACTCTCTGCTTGCTGAAGGAAGAGAGCGGGCTGGGGACCGTTCTCTGTACAGAGACTTGGTACAATGGAAATACACATCATAGTCGTGACTTCCTACACAAGGATAACAACAAAAACGCTGATCGAGAAGCCATGTCACTGGTCAGCTTCGCTTGCAGGCAACGCTTTTTGTGTCTAAGGGCCTGAGATACGAGAAATGACTGCAAGTATCTTGTACTCTTCATCTCGCCCTGGGAGTGCGACATGGGAATATCAAACCTTCTTTTGAGCCATCCAGCGGTAACGGACATTTTCAGATATGCAGATCCTGTACGTTATTTGGAGCTACTGCAGTTGTTTAGAAATAAAAAAACCAACAAAAGGGAAATGGGGTACACTCATCGGATGTTTTTGGCTTTTCCACAGAATTTGAACAAATTACCAAGTCTCCTTGTGCTTTAGTTCCCCAAGTACAAGGGGAGAGGCTATTCTTGACCTATGTCAGGATGAAGCTAATGTTTTAAAAGCTTACCGGTCTTTTAATAAAGAAAATAAAGAGCAATATAGTAGTAACAGATGTAATTAAAGCCTTTATACCTACATATACCAATTTATATGCACGAGCGTGTGCAGACCGATGTATCTGGGAAAGCACGCACAAGCACTGCGGGGAACATGTGTAAGGGCTAGCCAGAGCAAGGAAGCCTGTAGCGATTTCCAGGCGCAGGTCACCCACAATGCAGAATGAATGGTAGGGTAATGCTTCTAACAGCCGAAAAAGGCAGCTTGATCTGCGCCTCCGGCAGTAACTTGGGGAGTCCAGAAATGTGGGTTCAGTTCCTGCCTCTGCTTCATCACCCCCTTGGAGAACTTTTATCTTTTCTCTGTTCTTCTACCCACTCCTGGACGTTGGGGGTAGCAATTTCACCATTGGCCATTTATGTCAGCCTTATTCATAAGGATTACTTCTTGCAGAGCAGCCGCGCTCGGGGCAGCCCGTCGCCGCCAGGACAACGAGGGATCTGCTTCTTCCCTGCAGAAGTTCGTGAAACAGGGCATTCGGGCAACCGTACAGGGAGCGGGTTAGGTGGTGATCTCTGTGAGAGAGGGCAGAACGCGTTTATCCTCCCCTGCTGGAAAGCCAATCGTTTTCCGAGCGCACTCTTTTTTCCGCGGGGCGGGGGACTACCGACGGCAACTCGGGCAAGCACCCCACGCTGCCCAGGGCCGGCTGCGCGGCCCCGGCCTCTCGGGACGCTCCCGTGAGCCCGAAGCCCGGAG